AAAAAAAAAAAAGAAAACTAATAGGCATGATAAATGTTTGGTGATTGAATAAAAGGATAAATAAAATCTAGTATTTTCTTATATGTGTCTGAGAACTACAAAGTATGCTGTATTATACAATTAGACAAGTTAGACCAAAATGTCATACCTAGCACAAATGAGTTTTAAAAATCTATGACAAGAAAAAAAATTGATGGCAAGGACCAAGAAATTATAAATATGATTAAGGCTCTTATTATGCAATGTAGGCCAAACTGTGATAATACACGGCTTCCTGAAAATTCACATGCAAACTTTTAAAAGCTGCATACAAAACAGCTTTAGTCATGTGAGTGTACCTGTTCTTCTCTGCACACAATGTATAGTCAGACTTTTTCAAATCCAACCCAAATTCTTCCCTGTGACAGTTAGTCTTTATTTATTTTCAGTCCTAAAGTGGAGGAAGAGAAAAGTTGAAACACTTCTTTTACACTGACTTTTAACTTCTTATAAAGAGGGTCCCGGGCCCACCATTAACGACTCAAGTGGCAACGTGACCAAGACGGACGACGCAGAATCTGACTGCAGGTATTTCAGACTCCACTGGCTATGAGATGTGAAGATGTCTGGGTCCTCAACTTGATGGGTGGGACCTTTTTCTGTATTTGTTCTTTCCCTCCTTCCCTCTCTCCCTCCTTCTCTCTCTCTCCCTCTTTTCTCACCCTCATTCTTGAATTTGTAGTGTTTGAATTCATTTCTTTGTCACCACTTTCCATGTAGCTCTTTGCCATAGCAAGAAAGTGAAGCAGGAGAGGCTTCCCAAGCACAGTATGGGGATTTATTCCTCAGGTGCACGGGGAGTTTTCCCCACTTAATGGGGCTCTAGAAGGTTGGGGCAGGCTCCAAATCTGAGTCCTCTCCTTCAAGGACCAGCGGGCCTCAATCAGGTACTGATAGCTGATGACCACCCTTTGTCTTAAATGAAACACAAATCAAATCCTGATTCAACACTTAAAATGCAGAAGTCTGCTTAACAAAATGACTGAACTGCTCATAATTAAAGAAAGTCAATGGTTTAAAAAAAAAAGCAGGCATTCTCTTCAAATTATGGTAACAGGAAGCTGACATATAAAAAATGCTTGGGGTCAGCTGTATATTTCTACTTTAACAAATACAGGCAGGAGAAATAACTATCAACTACACACATAAGTAGTTCATCAGGAAATCCAAGTCTGTCCACACCAACAAACACCAACCTAGTCTAACTTTTGATCAGCATCAACTCACTTGCCCAGGGTGAAATGAATTTACGTTATTCTAAATTGCAATGAATTAAAAGCCCATCCATCAAAACTCTTACTGAGTGTTTTATTCCCTTGTTCACATCTAAAAGAGGCAAATCACAAGAATGCAATGAACTTTGAGATTTACTCTGCAAAGCAAGTTTCCAATATATGTACTTGTCTCAGAATGCATTCAACCAAACTCCACTTCTGCTTCTGATCCCAGACCTTTCTGATCCTTACTCAACAAATTAAGTTTCCATTAGAATCTCTTGAAACTTTTTGAGTGCAAGACCAGAAAATTAAAGTTTAACATATTTTATGTAAAGATTGAGACATTGGAAGTTCTTTTGAACATTAATGCTTCACTGATGGATAGTACAGGAATCACAAAAAATCAGGGGCTTGAAGTTAAGGCTTTAAGGAAATCATTTATAACAAGGTGGACTGAAGCCAAGCAAGGGAGAAATTCCTGGAGGTAGAGGTGTCACAAAGTCAGCTTATCCAAGAACCCAGCACAGGCCAGGCTATTCTGTCCCAGGCTCTCTGAGTGGCTAGGGAACCACATTTTATTATTATGAATAAAACAAATCTAAGGCTATCTCTGAAAGCCTCTGAGTCCTATTAGACCACTTCACCTGAGTATCAGGTGGAATTAAAACATACCAAACAGACAGAAGGAATGCTCACCTTTTCAGAAACTATCCCCAGAAAGAAGGATCCTATTCTCTAGACAATAAGAAGTGTCAGACCAATAAATTTATAAGCTGGCTACCAACTAAAAAAAGTCATACAAGCATTTCCTTACCTGTTTTTATATTGATGGCAAAAAAATTCTGAGGATTCCCACTTGTAATCCTGTATGTCAGTTTTTCATTGGAACTGGAGTCAGGATCTTCAGCCTGGATCTGAATGACAGATACATCCTTTGGAGAGTTTTCCATGACAACAGGATAATAAATAGGTTCCGAGGTCAGTGGGGCATTGTCATTCACATCTTCAACTTCAATGTAGACCTCAATGGTGGAATAGAGTGGAACAACACCGCGGTCCGTGGCGTACACTGTCAGCCAATATGATCCCATTGTCTCCCGATCAAGAATATCTGCAGCAGTGATGACCCCTAAGACAAAACGGAGAAAGTGAGACTGCTATAGCAGAACAGGAAGACATTAAATAAATAATCCCAAATTCCAGAGGGTTGTGCTAATTAATCTTGACATATGAAGAAAACAAAAAACAAAAAAACCCAACCCAAATCCATAATACAAGATTAAATTAAGATCTCAAAGATGTCACTCTTTACATAAGAAAATGATTCTTCTGCAGGACTCATATCAAATAGTCCTAGAGTTTGTGAAGTATAATTACATTCACAAATACTTTGTTTTGAATTTTGCAGACAGACACATGTCAAACACACACACACACACACACA